TAATATATATATTAGTGTTTATAATTAATGTTATACATAGTCTATTTAGAAACACTTTGCAAGAAGTTTGGTTTTAGATCACAGCCACATTAGACTATCTGGTGTTGTCACCGGGGGGGGGGGGAAAATCCGGACTTATAACGCTAAAATCCGGGGTTCGATTCCCCCCCCCCCGGTGACAACACCAGATAGTCTAATGTGGCTGTGATCTAAAACCAAACTTCTTGCAAAGTGTCTCTAAATAGACTATGTATAACATTAATTATAAACACTAATATATATATTAACATTAATCGTTCACAATTGTTAAAACATAAGAAAACGGCCCGGCATGGCCAGGTGGTTAGGGCGCTCGACTCGCAATTTATGGGTTCGAATCCCCGTCACACCAAATATGCTTGCCCTTTCAGCCGTGAGGGCATTATTATGTGACAGTCAATCCCACTATTCGTTGGTAAAAGAGTAGCCCAAGAGTTGGCGGTGGGTGGTGATGACTAGCTGCCTTCACTCTAGTCTTATACTGCTAAATTTGGGACGGCAAGCGCAGATAGCCCTCGTGTAGCTTTGCGCGAAATCTATAACAAACAACAAGCGAGCATAAGAAAATAAAAACCGCAAAACAACAACAATTGCCATTTATTTAAAAAAATTAAGAGTGATAAATCAGTAGAATGGAACAGATTAAACGGGTTAAGTTATAGCGCTTATCTTGATGTGGTTAGAACATCTACAAGTATAGAAAACCCATTTAAAGATATTAGTCTGAGTACAAGAGCTTACCATATCATATATAGAATTTACTCTACCGTATGATATGATTTATTCAGGCTAATCTATTATATACTATGTTTTATGAAAGTTACTATGCTATATATGATGATTTATGAAAGTTACTGTACTATATATGATGATTTATGAAAGTTACTGTACTATATATGATGACTTATGAAAGCCACTGTACTATATATAATGACTTATGAAAGTTACTGTACTATATATGATGACTTATGAAAGTTACTGTACTACTATATATGATGACTAAAGTAACTTTCATAAGTCGTCATATATAGTAAAGTAACTTTCATAACTATATATGATGACTTATGAAGGTCACTGTACTATATATGATGACTTATGAAGGCCACTGTACTATATATAATGACTTATGAAAGTTACTTTACTATATATGACGACTTATGAAAGTTACTTTACTATATATGATGACTCAGAAGGTCGCTGTACTATATATGATGACTTATGAAGGCCACTGTACTATATATAATGACTTATGAAAGTTACTTTACTATATATGACGACTTATGAAAGTTACTTTACTATATATGATGACTTATGAAAGTTACTTTACTATATATGATGATTTATGAAGGTCACTGTACTATATATGATGACTTATGAAGGCCACTGTACTATATATAATGACTTATGAAAGTTACTTTACTATATATGATGCCTTATGAATGTTACTTTACTATATATGATGATTTATGAAGGTCACTGTACTATATATGATGACTTATGAAAGTTACTTTACTATATATGACGACTTATGAATGTTACTTTACTATATATGATGATTTATGAAGGTCACTGTACTATATATGATGCCTTATGAATGTTACTTTACTATATATGATGATTTATGAAGGTCATTGTACTATATATGATGACTTATGAAAGTTACTGTACCATATATGATGATTTATGAAGGTCACTGTACTATATATGATGACTTATGAAGGTCACTGTACTATATATATGATGACTTATGAAGGCTACTCTGCTGTAAAGTTAAGCTGTCCTATGCGCCTGGTGGTTAGTACGTTGGTCCGTCTTGTCTCCTTTTTTGTAAGATAATAGTTATCGTTCTGACATGAATAGCGAATAGATCAGGTCTCGTAAAGTAATAATCTATAGCGTGACAGTAGGCTTCGTTTATGATAGAAAAAAACAAACTGTTAGTAAAAGAACAAATATGAATTAACACTCTACACAGAAGCCAAGAAAAGTCTTTTCAGATGTCTACTCTATAGGAATAGCAGCTTTACGTTAATGAGTTCTTTTGAGAGAAGAACAGAGAATGTGAGCTTAAGATAAAAGTTTCATTATTTCCAGAGATCCGTGTCAATAATAGGAAGGTTAGAGGCTCCTGCTAATGACGCCAAGCATTCTGGTTCATATGAACAAATCAATTCCACTGTAACACTGGAATCAGTGCATGCGTGGAAGTAAAAGGTTATTTTTGGCATCCCGGGAATGGTTATCCCTTTTTGTCATTTCAGAGAAAATTGAAGTTATAACTAATATAGCCTACAAATTAAACACAAAATTAATAACTATTAAATTGTCCTTGTTACAACTGAAACAAAAATATTTATTTAAAACAACAATAACATTTACATAAATGACTCATTAAGTAACCTCAATTCCATAAATATAGATTAAATAAATTATAATAACGACCTCTTTAATTGATATATTACCTTTAACCTCCTTTTAAATGAAAAATTTGATTGTTTTATACACTTTGATACTGCACCTTGAGGTCTCTTTACTGAACTTCTTTAAATCAAATGA